TCCCCAGTACATGCCATGTGCATGGGACCTAAGAGACCTAGTTCACCATCTCTAGTCCACTTGCTGCGTTTCCCCTTAGGGGTCTTTTGGCATAAGGGATAGGCAGTTGAGATGCCCACCTGGTTGTTCCTTGTGAGACCAGAGAGCAGACACTAAGAGATACTGTGAGAAGGAATATGGAAGGCAGTTAATCACCCAGGGATCATATCTCAGGGCTCAGAATGGGAACTGGGATGCTGGAGCACAGGCTAAGCCCCACTCTGAGCCTGGGCCTTTCAAGAGATAGCAGCCAGGTGAGCCTGCGTCAAATCTTTCTCGTTCCATTTTCTTTCTGATTTAATTTTCCAGAGATTAGGGACTGTTCGCCTTCATTGCAGAGAGAAGCCTCGTGAGTGTGCCTGTTTTCACTCCGAGGTTGGGTGGTTGGTTAGAGGATCCAGCTGGTTCTACCAGTCCTCTGTCTGCTCCCCTCCAGAATGACTGGTCTCCCACATCTGTCCCAAGCCTCCCCAGGCCAGCCAGAGTCCCAGTTCATCCTTTATGCCCCCTTTCCAAAGGCCTCACCTTCAAATGACTGTTAACAGAGGGTTCTGAACTACACAGAGCACAAGGGCAAAAACGTTGTACCAGATAGGCCCTGTTCAGATTCCAGCTTCGCCAAGGAATTTCACCTCTGGCTCTCAGTCTCCTGCCTGCTAGGTGGGGATGACCAAAATGAACCTTCCTCTCTCCTCAAGGGTTATTAGAGATCAGCAAGGTCAAATGTATGAAGACCTGTCCCAGGGTGGCCAGAGCCAACACTCAACAGTGAATGGGGCCATTCCCATGGCATCCATGGTCCATCCACCCCCCTCCTCCCTCTCCTTTCCCCACCCTGGGCAGCTCGGTGCTGGCTCAGGTCCCTACCCCACTGCTACTGGCTTTCTGACACTTTGTAAAATGACCTCTGATTGGGGCCTGTCCGTGTTACTTGTCCTGAGACCATCTGTTTCCTATAGTGGCTGCCTCTGTGTTCCTGGCATCTTGAGGCTGGTAGCAGCTTGACCCTGCACACCACCCCCCATCCCCACCCCAGTCAGGACTATTGAGAGCTATGTACATGAGACCAGCTTCCTCTGTCCTTTGGGTCCAGGCTTCCTGTCCGAGGTCACTGTTCCTACAGGCATCCCTCCAGACTCACCTCTTAACTTATGTGGAGCTGCCTGGGGAAGCAGGAGGCTGGGTACGAGACTGGGAACCCTGAAGAGACATTAGCCCTCACAGGCCCTGAAAATCCCTAGGCCCCTTAACAAAACCATTGCTAGAGCTCAGAGTGGGTTGGAGTCGGAGCTGGCATGTGAGGGAGGAGGGGAGAGATGGAAGGACAGGTATCCATCTGTGGGGATGGGTGTGTCCTCCAGGGAGGAGGACACCTCCCGTGAGTAATGGCCATAGGACACGGTATGAGTTGAGAGTAGCGAGGGACTCCAATCAGCCCCTTAAATTGTCCCCCATGGCCTCAGCCCCTCTGCCACTGTCTCTTGCCCTCCCCCACATGCCTACCTGGCTCCATGCTGCCCTGTTCCATCACCATCCTACTATCCTCTATGGGAAGAAGGCCCAGCTTTTCCTCCCTATTATGGCTGCCTGTGGATCTGCTGGCCTCCACCTGGCTGCCTGGACAGAGGCAGGGGCCTCCAAGACTGTGCTGCTGTGAGTTTTTCAATTAACTCTCTGGGCCAAGAACACTAGCAAGCAGGTGGTCTTGCTGTGGTTTTTGAGGCCCTGCACCTAGTGTGCCCTGGCTTTTCTGCCATCTCCCTGCTGTCCCCTCAGGGGCCAGTGCTAGGGGCTGGCCCTAGAGGGAAGCTATCTCTGGGTAGGGTCCAGGCTCTGTGGTTGCCCTGAGCTCTCCTGGGCTCCTTGCTGGGCCCCAGCAAGGAAGCACCTCCCTGGATCACATCACAGTGAGGATGACCTATCTCCTGGGGTGGAACCATCTGCTAGACTGTGTCATTCAGGCTCAGGTCTCAAGGCCCATCCAGGAAGCCAGGAAAGTAGAGCAGATCCAGGGCAATGTTGAAGAGAGGATCATGCACCAGGGGCCCGTTTGGGGATGAGAACAGGTTGGACTGGCAGCTTGACCCTGCTATTCTGGGATTCTGCCCTCATTTCACCAAAAACCCCTTCTAGCCCATTCCCCTGCTCTCACTTTAGGAAGTATTTAACCAGGCAGGGAAAGGCAGAGAAGAAGAGGGGATAGAATTAGCATAAGTGTGAAGATGGGAATCAGCACCGGCCAGGACCTGAGGCCCGCAGGCATATGACCAGTAGATGGGCCAGAGAGGCCTTGAATTCTAGCCCCAGGGGCCAGCAGGAGACCATGGTGTGACCTTGGGTAGGAGTAGAACAGGAAAGAATCATGGCAGAGGTATCCCTGTACTCCAGGGACTTACACAGCTGCAGGCAAAAGTAGAGGAATCAAATCTATGCCCTAGAGTTCTGCTCTTGAACCTGGAATTGGGCATATGCCTTTGTTGAGTGTTCACTGCACAGAGATATAGTGCTTGGGGAGACAGAAAAGGAGCTGGCTATGGCTATCAGTGGTGTCCTTGTGTCTGGGCTCCCCTGTTATCACCTCCAGGGTTGAAGCTGAGGTGTTTGGAAATGAGGACAGAGTAGCTGGGGGAGGGAGATGAGAGGAGTGGGGCTTGAGGTTGGCCATTAAGGAATGGAAGCTGATAGGTTTAGACAGCCAGTCCTCAGTGGGAAGATCTAGCAGGGAGAGAATGGAGGTGGGGAGGGGACTGTGATTCCTTCTACAGAATTCTGGTGACCTTAAACAATAGCAGTAGTGACAGGGTTTGCAAAACGTGAATTGTTCTGTTCTTGGCCTGTGAGATGAGGACTGAGTTCTCATTAATATATCAGACTGAAGTGCAGAGATGGGTGACTTTTGGCAAAGTCTTTAAGCCTTGTGTCACCTGTCGGGGCCCTGGGATATGGCCCGGCATATGGTTATCTACTCCCTCTGCAGGCCCTGACCCCATCCCAGTCATCACGCAGGCTGTAAGGGGTACACTGGGCTCCTGGGGAGGGATTTCTAGGCTTCCCCAGGCGAGAGGTCAGGAGACTCATATAGTCCAGACGCCTCTGATCCTGGGAATGACCTTGACAGGGGAGTCAGGTGTGGCCACTTCATTTCTGGCCCTAAGGAAGTCAGACAGCTGCGCCCCCTGCTGGCATGAGTTGGGGTGGGGTGCTGCTTTGCAAAGTCTTCAGCAGTGTGGTACCTAGGGCTATGGTCCAAGCCAAGGAAAGGGGGTGTTTTTAATGTCTTAGAACCCAGAAACGATGGGTGAGGGTAGGTGGGGGCCCTAGCTTTTGCCACTCACGCGGCCTTGACCTGTCCTCTCCCGTTTCTGCTTCTCAGTTTCCCCAACTGACACAGGCTTCCTGCATTTCCCTGTGACCCCAGTCTCCTTATCTCACCTCACCCTCTGTCTCCATCACTGTCTTCTATCTGAGGGCCTCTGTCTTCCCTAGCCATACAGCCAGGCCCTGCAACTCGACCCCTAATTGCCATGGCTCTGCAGGAAGGAGCGACTTCACCACAAATTATTTTGTTCTAAGAGAAGGACAAAAAGAAAAGAGAAGCCGGGAGGGATGGGGGGGGTGGCAGGAGGAGGAGAAGATTGCCTAAGCCAGCTTTCTGCACTGCTTTAACCCTTGGATTACCAGGCGCTGGGCAAGCAGCAGGGCAGAGGCTGTGGCAGCACCTGGCCTGCAGCCCATTCTCCTGTCAGATAACAGAGCCCTTATCTCTCCATCTTCTGTCACTCTCCTGACCTTATCTCCCTGCCTGTCTCTCCTCAGCTGCCTCTGCACCTCCTTATCTCTCCTTATCACCTCCCCTTTGTCTCCAAGTCCCTCTACTTGTGGCATGACTCCATAGTGGCAGCACTGCCTGTGACCTCTGGTAGTAAAGGAGTCGGGTTGGAACACAGACATCCTGGGGCCACCTGAATGGACACATGGACACAGTCAGGGCTGGAGACATATATAGGGTATATGGTACATATTACACACACATACACATGTGTGCATGAACAAAGTTCCCTGAAGAAATCTGCTTCTAAAACTCACATGCAAGCCCCCAGACTGTGATTAGAAGACCTACTCCCCCCCTACCCCCCATATGCCAGGACATGCACAGAAAACTGTATTGAGTTCTCTCTCTCTCTCTCTCTCTCTCTCTCTCTCTCACACACACACACACACACACACACACACACACACACACACCTTCAATTTACACTGTCACATGCATCTGTGCTCAGAGTCAACTCCTGAGGAAGAAGAATGGGTAGATTCATTGCCCTTACTGGCCCTTCTTTCATAATTCCCACCCCCATATTCTGTGCGATGAATGACAGAGAAGCCCAAGAAGCACCCAGAACTCCTGATACAATTTCTGCAAATGCCCTGGGGCAGCCCCAGAAAAAAGGGGCAAAGATGCCTGGGGCTGTGTGGAGGAGTAGCTGTATATGTTCGTGGTGCATGTGCAGCTGTGGGTGTGGGTGTATATATGCACAGCTATGAGAACATTTTTGCATTAGGATGTGGCTATGTGGTATGTGCTTATCAGCTCCATCTCCCCTACACACTCTGCCTCATGCCTCTTGTCCTTCCCCCTCTGATGCTCTGGCTACTCTGAGCTAGTCAGTGGGTGGTATTCATGGCCCCTGAAGAGAGGACCATGAGGCCCAGAAAAGGCAGTTACAACTTGGACCCATTAACTACAAACACTGACCCAGCCCAAACTGGGCCCTCATTCCAAATGCAAGCTATAGAGCCCCAATTCTGCTGTACCCTGAGACTATGACAGCCTGGACTCTGCTCTTTCAGAGTCCTATGGGAATAGGGCTGAGCTGAGTTGAACCCTGTGGAGGGTGTATGGTACCATGGCATAGCAATGTAGAGCCACTCTGGCCTCACCCCTGGCCTCTGCTTCCTTCCAGATCTACAAGGACAACCGGAACCTGTTTGAGGTGCAGGAGAACGAGCCTCAGAAGTTGGTGGAGAAGGTGGCAGGGGACATTGAGAACCTGCTGGACAGAAAGGTGCAGGCCCTGAAGGTAGGCCTGGGGGGCATTAAGGAAAGGACAAGTGGAGTGGCTCTGACAGAGAGCAATATCCCAGCCCTCCATTGTCACACAGCCCTTGGCCCTCTGAATTTAGAAAGGACCATCATTGGCAGGGCTGTGCCCACGGGGACTGTGGGCAGCTATAGCAGGAGCAGGATCATTTTATCTGGAGCAGGCCACATGAGGGGGGACCTGGACTCTTGGCACTGGGCAGCCCTGCCTCTCCCTCATACTGGGCCTGGTGTCATCTCATTCCTCTGGGTCCCCTAGTTTGTCTATGGGTGGTGCCCTGAATGAGCATCTGACCAGGACAGTGACCTATCGATGGTAGAGTTTCTGGTCCTGGGGTGGGCAATAGGATCTGACTGGGGAGGGAGTATCAAGGGACCATGGATACTCCCATAGAGAAGGCCATGGCCATGTAAGGCTGGAGGTTGGAGTCCTGCTCTTCCCAGGACCTCAAATGCTTCTCTGTGTTGTCTGGGCCTCAGTCTTCCCTTGTATACTAGAGGTTGCAATTCTAAGGCCCTGAGGTTCCGTGGGCTGCAGGACCTTCTGGGCTATCCTGACAAAGCAGACAAAACCTTGCTACTCAGCCCAACCCCTGGACAGCAGGTGGAGAGGGACATCTGGAGCTTCAGAGCACCTGAGCTGGTTGTGTGTAAGTGGACAAGAGGTATCTGAGTTCCCCAGCCTGTATGGAATATAGCCTAGTCCAATAAAAAAGAATGGAACCTTGATACACACTACAGCATGGATAAAGCTAAGTGAAAGAAGCCAGTGACAAAAGGCCACATATTGTGTGATCTTATTCCTATGAAATGTCCAAAACAGGCAAATTCTCAGAAATGGAAAGTAGATTAGTGATTGCTAAGGGCGAGAGGAGAGGGGAGGGGACAGCTACTAGTGGGTACAGGGTTTTTTTAGGGGGTGATGAAAATATTCTAAAATTAGACTGTAGTGATGGTTGCACAATTCTGAATATACTAAGAACCATTGAATTGTGTGCTTTGTGTGGGTGAACTTGCTGGTGTATGGATTAAATCTCAATAAAGCAGTTTTGGGTTTGGTTTTGTTTCGTTTTGTTTTTCTTAATGAGCAAGTCTGTTCACAACTGTGGCCAGGCCAGACTTGGGCTAGCGTACTAGCAGAATCAAGTCAAATCCCCATATCCAGGTCCCAGGAGATAATCAGAGTCCCCTTCTCCAGGAGCTGGGCCCTGCTGCCCCTCAAAGGGTCTCCTGCCTGTTGTGTGACCTGGGGTTATGGGAAAGGAAGAGACTGGCCTACTCAGTGGGGTCCAAAGGTCTCTCACCAGTTGTGAGAAAACATCCCTCACCTTCTAAGCCAGCAAATCACATACACCCACACCCACACACACACACTACCTTTCTGAAAATGGGCCCTCTTTCTCTTGTTCTCTGTCTCCCTGTCTCTGCCTCATTCCAGCCCCCTTGTTTGCACAGTGCCCAGCCCAAACTTGTGTTGAAACCTTCTGGTATATATGGGAAGGGTTGTCCTTCAGGTCTTTAGGTTGGTCACTCCCAGCTTCAGAACTGGTTGTCAGGGATGGGTGTGTGGGGGTGTAAGTGGTGGCAGCAAAAGATACCCAGAACCCAGCCCCCTGCCATCCTCCTCAGGAACTACAGGTTGGAGTCTTTCTGCAGCCCCTTAGCCCAACCCTAGAGGAACAACCAACCCTGCTAGCTTGTATGTGTGTGTGTTGGGGGTGGCAGGGATTGGGGACATGATCAAAGCCCTGAAGTCCTGGTCCCAAACCTCTCCCTGCACTCCATGTGCTGGACCCTTTCCCCTAGAGGCAGGACAGATGTCTTTCTCCTTTCCATTATGTCTATAGCCTAGTCCATGCCCTGGCACATAGTCAACACTTGAAGAAAAAAATGATGGGAAAAGGCACCCATAGACTCAGCACTCACCAGGTACTTAGTCTACCATGAGTCATCCTCACAGCAGCCTAGAGGAGGCTCTGCTACCTCATTTCACAGAGGGGATCATTGAGACTTGGAGGTGCCATGCCTCATGACAGGATGTGGCAGAGGAGGAGTCAAACCCAAGCCACTCTGATTCCAAGTCAAACACCCACAATGTTCCTGAGGCAAGCACTGAGGTCATAGCCCTTGTTCTCCCAGGGCACTCCTGGCCAGTGACCTCCTGCTGCAAGGTTCCTTGGCTCTAGGCCCACCCCCTATCTGCAGAGTAAGTAAAGGACCACCCTTCCTCCTCCTTGGTCCTAATTGTTCAAAGTGAGCTTTGATCTTCATTATGTTTTAAATTTGCTTCTAATCAAGTTTCTGGTCCCTTTCTTCTTTTCATTTGTTTGCGGCCTGAGTACACACGGAGGGAGGGATGTTGGGGGGCTGGGCCCCCACCCCCCATTCCATTGTTGCTCTCTCCCTGGACCCCATCCAGTAATACAATTTAAATCCCTTGCTCCAGTCTGGAATTTTAATTTGGGGCTTGCAAAGAGGGAGATGAGCAATGCAGGACAGAAGTTCATTGTCACATCTAATCAGAGACAATCAGATGTTTCTCCAAGCTGCACAGGGGGTTTCTGGGGCCAAGAGTCAAATAAAGGGAGAGCAGATTGAGAGCCTTACAACACAGGCAAGCAACATCCCCATGTGCAGGATATATGCTGGGCTTTCAGCCTTGGACACATGGAGGGCACCCTGTCTTGGAACTTTAACTTCCCAAGCCTCTGAGCTGTGGCTGCTCTCTTAGTGTCTTGAGTCCCAGGAGGGACAAGAAGGTGCCTAAGCTCTTATAGTGCACCATGGCAGAGTTAGACCCAAATCAGAATGTTCCTGTCTTCCTAGCTGGGGTCTTGGAACCTGGACCCTTTCTCAGGTCATCTCTTCTTTGTTGTATTCCTCCCTCCAACTAGTCACCAGTGTTCACTAGTGGCTTACTGTGTGACAAGCCCTGTGTTGGTCCTGGGGTACAGCGGGGAAAGACAAACCCTCTCCCTGCTTTCATACAGCCCTCAGACCAGTATGTCCCAGGCCTCAGTTTCCCACTCTGTGCCTGCATTCCCAGCAACCTAAGAGGCTGAGGAGGAGGATTCCTAAAGCCACGGGAGTTCAAGGCCAACTGTTCAGTATAGTGAGACCCAGTCCCAAAATAAATAAACAAATAAAATAGGGACATCCCACCCTCCCTGCCCAGTATCTCGGGTTTCATAACTCCAGGGACCATTGTTCCTAAAGGCCGTAGTGTGGACAGTGTCCTTGAAGGTTGTGTACCTGCAGTGCTGTCCCTGGCACCTTTGTGGTGTGGCTCAGAGGAAAGGTCATGAGAGGAGGCGTTGCCTCAGATAAGGTGAAGTATCACCTCAGAGGGGGAGTCCAGCCTCCTCTCAGGGACCAAGCCAAGGGCAATGTGGCTTAGTAGTTCCCAGAGAATGGCCAGAGCAGGTTTCTGAGGACATCAGCCTGGAAGGTGGAAGCCTTCCTAGGGAGGCCCTTTTACCTCCCACCTCAGACAAGTAAGCAGTGGAGAAGCTCAGTCCTGAACTAAGCCCCTGCTCCTCCTCCCATGCCCACATGCCATCACCAGTCTACCTGGGGTCCTGCCCATTGTCCCAAGAGCCAGGACCTTCCCAGATGCTTTGCCTTTGTACCTTTGCCTGGGTGCAGTGCTTTTTATTCCTGGTTGCATGTTGTATCAGCTGGGGAGCTTTGAAAATCATGACAGGCCCCATCTCAGACCAAGTCCATCAGGTCCTCCAGGGGTGCTGTGAAGGACCAGTATTTCTCAGTTATCCACAGGTTGCTCTGTGTGGATTCAGAGACCTAGACTTTTCCTCTCCCATGGCAGAAGTAATTCCTCTCCATGATTACTGGCCTCTTTCTGAGTGCCAGGCCTCAGATGAGCCTGAACATCCCAGATTGCTCCAAATCTTCACCACAAGACACTGGGTTACTTCTCTTCCATTTTACATGTGAGGAAACTGGGCCTCAGAGATGTTAAACCATTTGGCCCAGGTCTCACAGCAAAACCAGACTTAGATCTAGGCATTTGGGCTCCAGGCCCTACAAACTGCCCCCTCATATTGCCCTCCTCATACTACCAGTAGTGGCCATGTAGCATTTGCTGACCACTAGGGGAGGGAACAGGGCTGAGGGAAAAGGAGTGGGGCACTGGGCCCCTCAGATAGGAGTTTGCTCTAAGATGACCTACTGACTCTGGAAATGTTCCTGTCTCTCAGTTTCTTTCTTGAGCAATAAGCCCCCTCTCACACTCACCCAGCAGGCTCACATGGATGGGGCAGGGGAGGTGCAGCTCTGGCCTTGGTTCTAGGGGCTTCAGTGGGCAGCATTCCTACCATCAGGGGCCTCTGGGGAGTGAGCATCATTTAAAGAGTAAAATTAAAAACCCTGTGCACACAGTCGTCCTGCTTTTGCCGCTAATGGCCACTTAACCCAATTAAACTGACGCATTGTTGGCAGTGTTGCTGCGTCTGTTCAGGAACGGGGCTCTGGGCTGGGTGTTCAGAGGAGCAGAAGGTAGGGACCAGGGGCTGGAGAGCAAGCTACTTCCTTTGTCAGGAAGGAGAATGTTCCATCCAGTCCCCACTTACTGTTTTCTTTCTAAGGCAGCATTTCTCGGCCTCAGCTCCCAAGATAACCTGAGCTGGATAAACCCTGGCTGTGGGGCCTGCTGCATGTGTTGTAGGATATTTGGGAGCACCCTTGTCTTCTACCCACTAGACACCGGTAGCACACCACTCCAACAGCTCATGACGATCAACTATATCTTCAAGTACTGCCCAGTGTTCCTCAGGAGACAGAGTTGCTCCAATTGAGAATCACTGGTTTAATGGCACAAGAGATGCAACCATGGTGAATAAAAGTCCCACAAGCAAGAGAGAGGACCTGGGGGAACCTCAGAGAGGTGCAGATGGAATGGAGCAGCCTCAGCAAGAGAAAGATCCCTTTAGTCTGAAGGGGCAATAGGGAAGGCTACCTGGA